GGGCTCTTGAGGCTGGGGTGGCACTGGGGGACTGGAGGGCCATGGCTTTTGGTGGACTGCTAACATTTTTATTTGAATTTGCATAGTCATTATTCAAATGATATACATGCAAATGCCACCAAAAGTTAGTGAATGGGTTTGCCGGGCTCTGGTATCAAAAAGGTTGGGAACCACTGCTCTAGCCCAATACAATTGAATCATACTAATTTCCATTTGGGTGGCACTGGGGGACTGGAGGGCCATGGCTTTTGGTGGACTGCTAACATTTTTATTTGAATTTGCATAGTCATTATTCAAATGATATACATGCAAATGCCACCAAAAGTTAGTGAATGGGTTTGCCGGGCTCTGGTATCAAAAAGGTTGGGAACCACTGCTCTAGCCCAATACAATTGAATCATACTAATTTCCATTTCTTTTGGCTTGTCCAGCTCTCCCTTTTTCTGGTAGATGATTTCCATCTTTTGAAAAGTAATCATGTAATATTTTCCAAATACTGATAGCTCTCAAGGTGGGATGATGCCAACAAAAGGGACCATTATATACAGGGGAAACTGGCTACTCTGATGGTTTTCTTTTTTCAGTCAGAGGTTCTGAGGTACAGTAGTGGTTGAACGGGATCTAATCCTGATCCTCCATACAAAATCCAGATGCTTGGAGTGTGATGCACCCAGTGGGCAATAATTTTTCTGTAGAACTTTTGGCTTTGTGAAGGCAGAGAGAAGCAGTGCTCCTAGAACACTTAACTGCTAGTTGATTTCATGGAACGCTGGCTCCATTTTTCACAAAGACAAATTCTTTTCAGATCTCCAGACTCCTGATTTGTTTAATTAATAGGATTGAGTAAAAGCACATTTATATTTTCCTTCCTGTTCTCTAGGCGGGTTCTTCAGTGATGTCTGGCCAAGGAGAGAGCACCAGCCCTCAAGGCAGCACACTCAAGTATTCAGGTCAAGAAGGGCTGTATACAGGAGTCAGCCTGACCTCCACGACTGAAGTTACAGCATCGGTGAGACAGGATTCCTGGTGTGCCCTAGCTTTAGCATGATCAGAGAAGATGAAGTTGGATACCTGCACTGGGCTGCAGCCTTTCGACATCCACACTTGTTTTTGTTTGTTTGTTTTGTTTTATCAGGCAGTCTGAGCAGCAGTGAGAGTGCTGGCTAGAACATTCCTCTGACGTTGTTTTTGTGCCTTAATGATAGAGGTGTTTTTTTCCAAAGAGGTTCTGCCATAGCATCCAGCTCCTCATCTATGCAAGAAAAACAAGGGAAAATGAATCTCTATCAGGGTAAAACTAATACAGCCAAAAAGAGCATCCTAGAGCTTTTGTTAGGTTCCAGAAATACATCTGCAAGAAATCCAGCAATGCTGCCTTTTTGATTGTATGTTTGTTTTTCACACCCTCACCTCTCCAAAGACTATGATTGCTCTCGTCATTTTTTGGGGAGGAGATAGGGAAAGCGTTTGATAAGGGATAGTGAGATATGTAAGGAAATGTTAATGTGCGTGTTGCTTGTGCCAATGCACACATCTTGAACTAAGCCTTTGATGCCCTCTCACAGGTCATTTCTCTTGTTAGCACTGTCTGTATCCAGTATGCCTGCATTGCTCTGTCATTTTCCTGCATCAGAGTTCAAGTACACCCCTGGAGGAAATCACAATGTTTGGTACAAGTCTCTCAAGGTTGAGTTAGTTAATGAGATCTTTTGTTTTAAAATATTTACTCACTTTGCAAGACTGCATTATAACTTTTAATGTACACTGTGACTGAGGTTTATGAAAGTTCATTTTTTGTGACTGGACTCTATATAGTCAGTCAGAATTTGTAAACAGGGTAGCAATCAGATATTTTTCTTCCATATATAAAATAATTTTTTTAAAAAAAAGAAGTGCAATTTGCGTTGCAGCAATCAGTGTTAAATCATTTGCATAAGATTTAACAACAGTTTTTATATGAATGAATGAATGTAAACATTTTAACTTAATGGTACGTAAATAATTTAAAAGAAAAAAAGTTAACTAGGTATCCTTATGCTTTTTTTTAATTGCAGCAGAAACATCCCATTTTCTGTATTTCTGGTTGTTAAAACACAATTTTCAAGAACAAACCTTCTCTCAGGAAAAACACCCTATCCATTTGCTCAGAAGTTTTGTGCAGAAAAGCAAACGCATCTCCATTTTTGCCATTGAAGAAGTATGTGCTGGAAAGATACAAATTGCAATGAAACGTTACTACCTAACTGAAACATATGTAAATACTCCATAAGATATTGAGGCATCTTTAAGATTTAGGATGCAATCTGTATAGTATGACTGACCTATAGCTAGGTTGGTTTACATTGTTTTTTTTTAAAATGGGATGCCATTTGGAAAGTTGTTCTTTCATCAGAGCTTTACAAATAAAAGGGTATTGTTTTTTTCTGTACAATGAGACTTCTCCTTTTTTCACTCTGGTATATTATAGAATGTTTAGCTGTTTTAAAGCTATAGAAATATGTATGATGCAGCTTCAGTGTTTGAATAACACAAGGATGTCTTCATATTAGCTATCTAACCTATCTGTCTAATCATTCTATGTGTCTTTTGTAAATAATCAATAGAGTTTAGCTCCTATACCCATATTATCTACTGGCATATAAAATAGGGAGATATACCTGGTGAAAAATGTGTAAGATTGAACCCATGACTCCCCCCCCCCAATATTTTTAATATTGCCCGCCTGTTTACATTGCATCTCAGCCTAGCGATGACATTCTTTTTGTAAGTAATCTTGATTCTCCCTTCACCTGGACACCTCAAAATGCAATTGCTGTCACCTGGAATTTCAGGGGGATGAGGAGTACAGGACTGGGCCCAAAAATTGCTGGTGAAAGGAGGAGCTAATATTTCATATGATTATTGGCGGTATTGTGGGACGGGGAAGCAGGAGCTCCTGAATGCCAGTCGTAGCTCTGTTATCAATATACTGTATGATCTTCAATCTCCTCTAGCTCAGACATGAATGGGCATAACTCTAATGAAGCCTTGCCAGTTTGAACCAGCTGAATATCTGTGCCTCTGTTTATCCATGCCATGTGAAATGGGGTAAATAAAAGTTTCTCTTCCTAGCTCTGAGGGATGCTCTGAAGGTGGATGAGTGACTTCATTAATGTTGGTACAGTGACTTGATAATGAAAGCACTATCCACGTTGTGAGTAAGCAGAAAAGGCAGTCCAGGCTTGAGAAAGCAAAGGGAATTGCTTATGAGTGGAGGATTTTTAACCTATACTTTCTCTTAGTTGAAACGCAGTCACAGCATCAGAAATGGGCTACAGCATGGGAAGATGTTTCCCTTTATTCCTTAGTGAAAAAAAGGATCATTTATGAAACACTTGGATTCTCTGGAGCCAGAGCTGCATTGATTCATCCCTTTCTCCTGCTGAGTTAAGTAGAACAGAGTACCATGTGCTTTACTGAATACTGATAGAAATGGAGCCGTGTTAGTCTGGTGTAGCTGAAAGAAAAAACAGGACTACCGTATATTCCGGCGTACAAGACGACCTCTGAAGTTAAAAAACATCCCCCAAAAATCGGGGGTCGTCTTGTACGCCGGATGCCCCGCCGCCGGAGCCCCTCCGTGGCTTTGAAAGCCTCGGGGGAAGCCGGCGGCGGGGCATCCCAGGCGCGCATGGGCTGCCCCCCCCCCGGAGGCCCTCCCCCCCGCC